AAGGGGCTCATAGACCCCACCTAGTTGGGGTCATGGAGCTCTTGCCCTGTTTTATAAAGGGGCCCCACGGTGACGTCTGCTGTTATTTTGGCAGGATCTGTTCTCAGAAATAGCTGGAATCTTTGCATCATCATTATCTTGATGTGAACCTGTTGTACTCTGGAGGAGACAGAATTTAACAAGTAGTTCAAAAAAAAAAAAGAGGCCAAAGATTAGTAAAAGAATTATTGTAACCAGGGGCCCAAGCAAGCCTAAGAGCCATGTTTCGTTTGGTATTAATTTTGATCCTAGTCCAGATAAAGTCAGCACTTGTGTTACCCTGTCCAAAGGAATGGAGTCATTTGGCATGGTCATGTACATTTTTTTTTTTTTTGCGGTACGCGGGCCTCTCACTGTTGTGGCCTCTCCCGTTGCGGAGCACAGGCTCCGGACGCGCAGGCTCAGCAGCCATGGCTCACGGGCCCAGCCGTTCCGCGGCATGTGGGATCTTCCCGGACCGGGGCACGAACCCGTGTCCCCTGCATCGGCAGGCGGACTCTCAACCACTGCACCACCAGGGAAGCCCTTGAGCGTTGTTTTAAGGTGATTTTGAGGTCAGCCATTCTCTCTGATAAGGGTCCTTTCATCCAGGTTGGAGATAGTCCTTTAAATTGTGTCTTTTCCAGTATGTATAATCCCCTGGTTGTAAGTCATAGGGCATCCGATCTTCATCTAAAGATAGACTACTGAGATAAGCTTTACAAACAAACTTAAGAGTTTCCTTTAATAATCTAATTAAACCTTTAGCAATATAACATAACAGCAAGGAACTATCTGGGAAGTGAGTCTTGGTAAACACAGACCTTAATTAACAAAACTAGAATTTAATATTTAGTGAAACATAATTTTTTTTCCATTGTGAGGGCATTAATCTTGTAGCCAGGGAAGGCTTTATCCTATCAAATAAAATGAGATTTATCAGGGAGACAGAAAAAGCCAAGTGGCCATCTTGGATTTTCCATAGCCCTGACTGTTTAATTTACAGCTATTGTTTACCCATTTTAAACTTTCTGACTTAGGAATAGACCGTTGCCATGCTACAAAGACATCAGGATAGCAAAAGTCTGACAATGAGGGGTTAATTTGTGTAGAAGCCAAATGAACTTTATCTATGTGTGTCAAAATCTTCATAGATCATTGTGAAATAATATTTATTTACTTAACCAAAATAACCAGAGATTTTAAAAGCACATATAAATCACTTGAAGGCAAAGAAATTTACATAGTCTGTTATTAAAAGCAGCACTCCAAGAAAACTTTGTTCTCTTAACAGAGAGAGAGAATCAAATTTTAGTCTGGTCTCAACAAACTTGGCCTGATGATTTATATAACTGTAATTGATCATAGAGGCTTTTTTGCTTGCTGAAATTTTTATAAGGGGTCTCAGAGTGAACTTTTAAAAGACCTCTCAGGAAAGTCACACCAAGGGCTTGTCACAGATTTTGCTTACCATATCTAGGTGAATTCATCCCTTTTCAAGTTCTCCGAAATACCTTGAGGTTTCTGTACCTGTGAGATAGCTTTCCTAATTTATCTGATAAAGCTGCTGGGGACCTAAGAGTTTCCAATCTCTGGAGGGAGCAGATAGAGAGAAAAGATAAATGCTTTAATTTTACACACGGATGTAAATTACCAAATTATTGTAAATCATAAGTAGCTTGAGGAGAAGAGCTTCTTTATATCCAGTTTATCATTATGGTCTGAAAGTCAGAAACTTGTGTTTATGCAAAAGTCCTTTTTATAAATCTTCTTGAAGAGGAAGCATTTTTGCAAAGGCATCAGAGTAAAACCGTGTAAGTGTCTATAATGACAAAAGACTTAAGGCACGTTTAAAATCTGATTACAATGTAATTAACAAGGTAACTTGGTTACTGTTGTGACATATGACACTTACGATAATAACTAGAATTATAACTGATAACATTTTACCATGACATATCAGAATTTTTTGAAATTCCATATATAATTTCTAGAATATCTGTATTAGTAACAATTACCATACAATATAACCTAAGAAGATTTATTACACATTTGACAATACTTCCCATGTACTTTTAAAATACCAAATGAACCTAATTAGTGTAATATCTCTCTTTGGGATGTTTCAGGGGCCCTTTGAAGCACCCCAAAGTTAGCTAGAGGTCAAAGAAACTCCACTACAGTTTGGTTTGGGAAGTTTTATCAAAAAAACAAAAGGGTTTAGAACACTCAGTCAGATAAGATCATATGTCACTGTGAAACAACAGTTATTCACTTAGCCAAAGTAACAGTAAAAGATTTTAGAGGCAAATATAGACCTGATCACTTAAAAGGTAAAGAATTAAAATCTGTCATCCAAGGCAGTTCAACATCTTAAGAAAACTTGTACCATGCACAAAACTCTTTTCTTGGGGTCCACTTTCCACAAACTTTTTTTTATCACTTTCTGTATCCATCACTTTATTTTCCCATTCAGAAACAGCCACCTGTAAGTTAGTCCTACTTCCTTTTTCCTTAATAAAATGCAATTCCATTCCTCATACCTTTTTTAAAAATAAATTTATTTATTTTTGGCTACATTGGGTCTTCGCTGCTGCACTCGGGCTTTCTCTAGTTGTGGCGAACTGGAGGGTTGCAGTAAGCAGGCTTCTCATTGCGGTGGCTTCTCTTGTTGCAGAGCACGGGCTCTAGGTGCGCGGGCTTCAGTAGTTGTGGATCGCGGGCTCCAGAGCACAACAGGCTCAGTACTTGTGGCACACGGGCTTAGTTGCTCCGCGGCATGTGGGATCTTCCCGGACCAGGGCTCGAACCCGTGTCACCTTCATTGGTAGCGGATTCTTAACCACTGTGCCACCAGGGAAGCCCCCTCATACCTTTTTTACTAAAAACATACATCCTACTTTCCTTAAGCAACCATGAACTATCCTTTATATCACCACTCTGTAGGTTGGTAAATATACATCCAAATAATAAGTTTTGAAGAATGTGCTTTCTTATAGAAAACATCTCAGTATGGCACCATTTTTTAATAGTTCTAAACCTTTTGTTTCTCTGTAAAAGGAAGCCAATGTTCAGTAATTACAGTTTCAGTATCTTATTTTATTTGGAAATGGACTAGTTATTTAATAAACTTCCATCCTTTAACTTAATTTAGCACAACTCTAAATGTTTTAAGTTGTCAAATATCTAGAGAGATTATTCTTAAGTAGACGTTCCTAAAGCATAATTATTCCTAAAAAGTTCACCCAAGGCTCTTATGTTATTTGCATTTTTTTGTCTTGGAAGTTTCTTCACATCGAGTTATTTTCATTGTTGACAAATTTGTAACAGATATAATAAGATCTTATTTAGTTTATATTAAACCTAGGCACAATAAAAGTATTATACTTAATGTTGCTGGCTCTAAAGACATGTCTATATTGATTAGATCAACAAACTTAAACATTAATACCAGGTATTAATTTAATATTGAATATTTCCCAGGTCACATGAACCTGAAATTTATTTAGCCTAATTTTTCTTGTATTTAGAATTGTTTACTTTTCTTTTAAGCCAATTAAATAGAGCTCATTTACAAATTAACCTCAGCAATATTATCCAAAGACAAAAACACATACTGAGACATACACATATATCCAGACAGAGAGAGCTCTCATAGTTTTCACTTGAGATTTAAAATGTCTCTTTGCCTCTTTTTTTTTTTTTTCTTCTTGGCTTGAAGTTCTACTAATTAACCCAAGGCTGAAGTCTCAGGTAAGTGGGCTGTGTTTGTAGCTCAAGGACATGATAAGAGTTAACTTCAAGCTTTGTCCTAGGTATATTTTTGTTCTCTCAGGGTCAGAATTTTGAAGAGAAGTAGTTTAACAAGGTAGCTTTTTCTAATTGCACATGCCAAAAGGACTGGTTTTTGCAATTTTAAGAAAAAATTTATTTTAACCAATTTTCTCTGGAGTCTAAACAATATTGTGGCCATACTGTCGAAAATCATCTTTCTCTTTCTGTGGTCATGGTTTCATAGCTAAAAGTTAAACCAGATAGTGCTCAAATTGGCTCTGATAACAGGGGCAGACTGGTTGATAAAATGTTGTCCCAGCAGGGATTGTCCCTCTGGGGAGGTGGGGTCTTAGTTTGATCAGAAGAATCTGAAGGAGTAAGGGAAGTTGTAGGAGTGGGGGAAGCTTGGTTCCCCCATCCTGAGAGTTGGGAGAAGTTAGAAGGGGATCATTTAGAATGTCAGGAGAGTTGGGTTTTTTTCCCTCAGGCTTTTGATTATGCAGCCACCCAGAGCAGGATTATAATAAAAGGGACATAAATTCCTGAACATAAGGGAACCTCAGTCCATTTTCCCATCCTGTGGCAATAGAGATTTAATTGTAGGAGACCCATTTTCAGGTCATTTTTCTTTGTCATTGGATCATAGCTATAGGTCGACCAGTCATTTAAAATTTTCCCCAAGGGTTCCCATGTTGGGGTGGAACCTTAGGGGAAGCCTTCCTGTTTTGGCTCGAGCAGTTGGTAACAGACGTTAGATGTTAGCGCGCTCAAATCAAAACATAAACCTTCACCTCGTCAGCTGGAAGTCGCACATAAAACATAAACCGTAAAAAGAAACAGCAAAGGGATGCTCAAAAAGAAAAAGGAGAAACATATGGCGGAGACGCACCCAAACGTGACTTCCGAGTCCCACTCAACCTGGACCGTTGCCCCAAAGCGGCGCCTTACATCAGAATCTCCCTTTGCAAGGAGAATTCCACATCACAATTTTACCTTTGCAGGGAGAATTCCACATCAGAATTTTCCCTTTGCAGGGAGAATTCCACATCAGAATTTTCCCTTTGCAGGGAGAATTCCACATCAGAATTTTCCCTTTGCAGGGAGAATTCCACATAAGGATTTCCCCTTGCAGGGAAATTCCCAAATTGGAACCGAAGTTCCCGTAAGGGGACAGTCAAAGGTCATGGAGTGCACTCCGGGAGACTCACCGTAGGTGCTGACAGGTGCGTCTCGACTTCCAAACGCCCTCTTTCTGATCCTCCAATATTTAGTGTGTTCTTGGAGTGGAAGTCCAGGCCGACGCGGGCATGAGAAGAGAAGGTGTCCTCAAGGCAAAAGGAGCCTCGGCAGCTGCTAGGTTAGCCTCTCCCCCATTCTACGCCGCAGCCTCGGAGTTCCACAGCCGAGTCGGCGGGCGGGGTGTGACCCGGGCACAGCCCTGTGGCAGGGAGTCCCTGGCAATCTGGACTCAGAGATATTCTCCGACCCTCTGCTCTCCTGAAGGAGGCTGGCGTAGAGAGAGATCCCCGAGCTTCCGATCAAGCCCAGCGGCCCTGTGGGGCAACCTGCCCGTGAGCAGATCCCCATGTTACCGTGTCCGAGCTCGCTCTGCTCGCTGCACGACAGGCCAATGAATCGGAGAGGAGGTGATGAGGCAAGGAATACGACTTTATGCGGAATGCCGGCAGACCGAGAAGATAGCAGATTACTGTCTCTGAAAAACCGTCTTCTCAGGGTTTGGATGCCAGTTTCTTTTATAGGACAGAGAGGGGGAGGAGATGAGGAAGTAAAGTAAAAAGGCCATAAGTTTTGCAAATATCTCCTGGAGTGGCCAGCCTCGGTGGCCATCCCCTCGGTGGGGGATGTGTAAATTTCTTTTTTCTTGCAGCCATCCACAGGTGGGCGGGGTCAGATTGTCTTCCGGTGAGCTGAACAGAGGCACTTTAGTTTAACATTCAGGCAGAGAGGCAGGGTTCCCTGAGGCCGGTCATTATGTATGATTATAATAACAAAAGCAACGAAAAGCAAAGGTTAAAGTGAAAGAAACAGATCACATAGAGTCCAATTTAGCTCTTCCCTGTTACAATTCCCCACTGTCAATGTCCAATCCACAATCTTGTGGAAAAAGGGGTGACAACGCTTTAACTGCTCAGTAAGATGGATCTTTCTGGGAGTGTCTGCCATCAGTGTCAGAGTTCCAAATGTTGAGATTTGTCTTTTGTTCCGCTTTGGAAGAGTCTGCTTTACACCTGTAGACTTAAAAATATTTACAGCCTAAAAGTTGGGAGTTAACAGGAATTTTGAGGGCTTCTAGCTTAGGAGGCCACATCTCAAGTTAAGGAATTCAGCATTTTTCTATGTATGGGAAGATGCAAGAGTCTGGGCTCAATGAAATCATTCCTTTGATATATACCACAGCTATCTGGGGCCTGTATCCTGTATTTTCATATCCTGAGTTTCCTCAGGACTCACCATAGGGAGTGGTTGCAGTCTGATGGCTGCTAGATGGCAGGTATTCTTCTCCTTCCTGAGTTTTCTCAGGCTTCACTGGCTCACGTTGGAGGGCTGCAATCCCTGATTATTGATCTTCTCCTCTTGGTCAGGAATTTGACCAATATTTGGGAGACATTTTATGACCAAATTTTGTCCCACAGTGCTGGGAGGCTTATCCGAGGTCAGGTGAAAATTCTTGATATGCTACTCCAGGTGCTAATTTTCGGATTAGGCCCTATTGATAATTAAAGATTCTCTGGATCCTCTGTCTAATTATGATCCAGAAGACATTTTCCCTTGTTGCTTCTTCCCATACCTAGAATCACATTATTACAATTATTTTATGTTATAAATGTGATCTATTTCCTTAAGATGTTTAGCCATAGAAGAAGTTTTGTTGGAGGCCTGGTTACACACTAGGTACTACAAGAGGCAACAATCTTATAAAATAGACAGGATATAAGTAATGTAGCTAGTAATATTGACAAAGACATAGTGCAGCAGGGAGACACAAAGCACAAACAATTTGGAAACAAAGAACAAATTAAAACAATAATTAGCATAATATTAAGTCCACAGGAGAGCCAGCTAGAGACAACAAATTCTGGCAGGATCAAGTAGAGAGAAAAAAAAGGTTTCATCTTTGTTTACAAAGGCATACTTTATCAACTTGTTGTAGGTCATAGCATAAGAGAAAAGGTTTTTCAGAAAAACAAAGATTAAAGCCAGTATATTTCCCAAAGTCATAAAGTTATAAATCATATTTACCAGTTCATTCAGTGCCATGTAATTAATTCCCGTTGATCTGGATGAAATAATCAGGTTTCCCATTAGTCTTGTCATTTGTTACCCAGTCCAGTGATATTATCTAAAGGCTAACAGAAATTTATATTTGTTTAAAAGTTCATTTTTTATCAGCCTTCTTGAAAATCTTCATTTTGTAAAAGCATCAGGACAAAACTTAAAATAGCATAGTTAAAGATTGGAGTACAATGCAATTAGCAGGAAACTTGGGTATACCATTTTAGAATAACTAGTATTATGATTGATAACATATCAGGACATATCAGATGTTAGGGATTCCATATAAATTTTGGAATAGCTATATAAATGAAATTTATCCATACACTATAACCTAAGATTCATCTCCAATCACTTGACAATGTTTTTGAAGTAGTTTAACATACCAAATAAACCTAGTTTGACATTTCTCTCTGAGATGTCTCAGAGATGTTCTTTCGAAATATCCCATAGTCAGCTGGAGGCTAAAAAGCTTAGATTTGATATTTGGGAAGTTTGTTAAAAATATCAAAACAGTTTTAAAACACAACAGGTCACTGTGAAACAATACTTATTCATTTAACTAAAGTCACAAAACGATGAAAAGAAAACAAATACGCATCACCTAAGGGCACAGAAACTTATATAATCTGTTATCAAAAAGAGCACGTCTAACAGAGAGAAATCACATTCCAGTCTTGTATTAGCTTACTTAAAAAAAAATCCACTTACTTAGTTAACTTCAATCTAAATTTAGTTAATCCTGACCAGGTACAAAACTTTCTCAGCAAAATGTAATTCCATTTCTCAAACCATCTTAATGGAAAACACACATTCTACCATACTGAAATGTTTTATTATTTTCAGTAGCTTTAATTATGTATTTAAATTAGAATCCCCTACTCTTAAAAACCTTGATTTCTAGTGACAACCAAGAGGCAAGTAATAGGTACTAAAATCTATGTCCATTGATTTTAGTGTTTTTCTAGATATGAGAAGATGCAAGAAATTGGGCTCATAAAATCTTCTCCTGAAAATATCTAACTATCTGAAGGCTTGTTCTGCCGGTTTTTTCCCAGAGCACAGAGTGACTCATTCCTGATCTCCACCCTGAACTCTTTTCAGAGTGTATTGAAGGTCAGTGACTGCAGTGGCTAATGACCTAATTCTTGTAGAGGCAGATGGCAAGTGACAATTTTTAGTTGGCACCACCATGCGTTCAAATTAGAATTTTCTGTTTATCAAAAGATAGTTAAGGTAATTCAAATGCAAGACACACAATGGGAAGAGATATTTGTAGCACACTTAACTGACAAAGGACACATCCAGAATATATGAAAAGCTCCTAAAAATAAATGAGAAAAAAGGCAGAAAATCCAATTTAAAAAGAACAAGTAATTTGAACAGAAAGATATCAAAATGGCCAATAAACTTTTTTAATTATCAGGGAAATGCAAATTTAAATCACAACACAATATTACTACATCCCCAGCAGAATGGGAAACATTAAAAGACTGAATATCTAGTGTTCATGAGGATGTGCAGTAGCTGGCTGGATACAAAATGTGTATTGTACAACTTCTTTGGAAAACTCTTTAGCTGTAACTACTCAAATTGAACATTTACATCCTTATGAGCCAGCAATTCCATTAAGATGTCCATAAGATTCTTTGATTTTTAATAGTTTGAGTCTGTCACCAAGGGTATGCTCATTTTTGTTTGCCCTCAGAAAGTCAGTTTGTGAATCTGAAAGAGAACTGGACTCAAATCTGGAAATGCAGTTAGAAGCTGCCTCTAAGAAGGGCCTTCAACAACAACTAGCATCCCTTCACCAGAAGTCCTCCAAAAGGTAACCTAATTAGTACTTGAGGAAGTGGGCAGACAACTAAGATAATGAGAGGCAGGCAGTTGAGTGGAGAAGATATTTGTAATACTTAAATATCTACAAAGACTTGAATTCATGAAATATAAAGGACTCCTAGAAATCAGTAAAAAACAGACAACCCAATAGAAAGATGGGCATGAAACATGAATACACAAGAAGGATATCAAAATGGAAAAAAAAAAAGTAGGATATCCAAATAAGCAATAAACGTAGGGAAAGATGCTCAACTTGATTAGACACCAGGAAATCATAAAATAAAATCACAATGAGGTACCAATACACACCCACCAGATCCATTACAATAATAGATAGGCAACACCTTGTTTGCAATGATAAGGGAAATATAAATTGGTACAATCACATCATAAAATTGTTTGGCAGTATTTATTAAATATTAAAGCTGACACATATCTACCCTACTATTCAGCAATTTCACTCCTATTTCCAACAGATATGGATACCTATACTCTCCAAAACACATGCAGAAAAGTGTTTTGTAGATCTAGTCCTTTTATTTTCTAGGAGGATAGTAATTAATCCTCAGTTAACATCAATTGATATTGGGCTTTGATAAATACTAATGCATGTGGTGCATTTCTAGGCTAATCACTAGAATAAAAATGACAGAGTAAGTAACTTCTGCTTGGAAGAGAGAAAAAAGATAGAATGATTAAAAGTTATTAATCCAAAAGAATTCAAGGATGGGGCTTCCCTGGTGGCGCAGTGGTTGAGAGTCTGCCTGCCAATGCAGGGGACACGGGTTCGTGCCCCGGTCTGGGAAGATCCCACATGCCGCGGAGTGGCTGGGCCCGTGAGCCATGGCCGCTTAGCCTGCGCGTCTGGAGCCTGTGCTCCGCAATGGGAGACGCCACAACAGTGAGGGGCCCGTGTACCACAAAAAAAAAAAAAAAAAAAAAAAAAAAAGACGTGTTCCATCAGCACCGTGTAATTGTGAAACATCAAGGGTGGGGATATATTGCTTAAGGCTTGTGATTTCATCTTGCATGTTGTTCACTAGATGTCCAACATACGTAGACAAAATCAAACACTTCTTTTTCAAAATCTTATTCGCATGAAAGCAGACATCCTTATCTATGCCGTTTCTGTCATGCCATAAGTACATGAGCATAGTTCTCTGATGGCTGAATATATCTCCATTATCTGGACAT